TGGTATCACAGTCAAGTGGGGATGGTATTTGGGCTGTCAACTTGGATGTATCTATGTGATGAGTAATACTGGAGATGTGAATCTTTTTGTGGGTGCTGCTCTTACAAATGGGACATCCGGCTTTTAGAAAATATGGGTTTAGAAATGTAAAATAACCTTAAATATTTTGAGTAGGTAGCTTGTATACAAGTATGTTGTTTGGAATTTTATATTAAACTTATGAACCTATATTTGAAGAGCTGTATTTTTAAATGTATCACTTAATTCTGGGTGCTTCAGTTTGTTCCTGCCCAGTTTGAGATGCTTAGGGCCTACTTTCCATCTTTTGCTAATTACTCACAATTCTAGTTTAAGCCATTGAAAGCTGAGCTTACTCAACAGCCTTGAAAATCAGGTGCAAAATGTCTGAAGCTGGGGACCCAAAATTGTGCTATCAGTTGATAACTGGGGGTGTACAGCTATAATGAGGGCAAAATCTGCTGAAAGTGTGGTTGGACAAATATAACTGAGACAGATTTTGGCATTGTATTTTGTATTTATCTATTTTGTACTTATTTAACAATCTGTGAATTCCTGCTTAAACTAAAATTGAATCTCACTTTCAGCTCTATAGTGTTAACAGGAATAAAGAATAGTGTCATTTTACTTTTTCTCAGAAAGAAACATTCAGAACTATTCAGAACAGTACTTAAGTGTGGGTTTAACTGCCCCTACGAAGTCATGGAACTTAAACGCAATTAGATGTTGTCCTGAATAAGAACCACAGCAGATTTGCTGTGTAAGAATGTGCCTTTTTGCAGGAACTGTACAGAGTAGAACAAGATGTCTGGGATACTGTTAATGGAGTATGATCCCTGGTGGGGTTTGCAGAAACTGAGCTCTATTGTGGCAGGCAGCAGAGTGAAAGAGAGGCATTCCTGGAGTCAGGATAATGATTATAATGATATAATATAATATATAATAATCAAATAATCATTAATATAAATTATTATAATCCACTATCCAACACAATGCCACAAAATTCCTTGTTTAAGGGAAAAACTAAATACTCTGGCAGGTCTAGGTCCAGTTACACTGTTGTAATTTCTCTGTTTTCTCTCCATTTTGAGCCTGGAGGGTCTGTTTTCTTTGAAGGAGAGGGATATGAAAAATAGTTCTTTTAGTTTAGTTTTAAATAACCCTTATATACAGTAGCTTTTCTCTGAAATACATTACATAAACAAAATACATGATGGCACAGTATAAAGTTTATCTTGGCACAAATTTGAGATGACTGCATTGCTCACGGGTACTTTTGACACTTGTGAGTAATGTGGTCATTGCAAACTTGTGCCAATAAAAACTTCATACTGCACCAGCTTGCATATATACTGTATGTATAGTAAATATTTATTTAATCTAAGGTATTACAAATAATCATGGCAGTTTCCCTTTCAAACTGTGTAATGTTAATCTGAAGCCCATTCTTTCCCTCTCTTGGTATCAGCCTCTCTTTACTTTTGAATGCTCTTCTATCAGGCATGTATGCCTTGGGTATCTATCTTTTATAGTTTGAATACAGGTTTGCCCTGTTGGAGTCACAGAACTCCAGTTCACAGGTCTGTAACTCTTATCCAGTAGAAAATAAAGGTATTAAAGCAGTAGGTCTTTTAACAAGGTCTATGCCTAGGTCTTTACGGTGGCAGTGGCAGCGGTCTATCGTACTATAACCTGATAACCTGCAAACTGAGCTTTCCCTTTTATAATAAACTTTTATTGGTAGCTCTAGGGACCAGTACTGCATGTGCATGCATACATGTGTGCATACACACATATACACCTCCCTCCCCCGCGACTTGGATGAATCAGACACACACAGACCCCTAGATGAATAGCCCCATTGAAGAAGATCCTTAGCCTCCTCTTCACCATTCTGCTTTATGCCTTTCTGGTGGTACAAAGCAGCCATCTGGGATTTCTCTCAATGTAAGGAGCCAGCTCTATGTCAGCCTGCCACTCAGTGCTTGGCAAGGTGAGCATGTCAGTGTTGGGACCTCAGTGCTATTGCACTCTCATGCTTAGCTGCCAGAATAGTGACATTGGAGCTATGATTGCAGGATACAACTTAGAAGATCTATTAAGCTGTCTTTGTGCCTTTCTGCAGGTGCAGGTGAAACGTGGTAACTTCAGTGGTAATGTCTACTGAATAGACTTATTTTCATGTGCGTGCATTAGAAGTTTTGGACCTTCAGTAATTGTTGATGATGCTCAATTATGGTGCCAGGCAGTACCTTACTGAGATGCATTCTACTCAATCTATATGTGAAATCTCTTGAAGTGAAAGTTGTGTAGCTGCCTCATTGCAGTGCTGCTTACATGCCAATAAGTTCTACCTCTCAGCACTAAGGTGGTTGTTACATTGCCTCTGAAGTGAAAGGCAGCATGTGCAAGCCTAGCAAAATATGTCTTAGTACAGTGCTGCCTGGCATCATAAGCGAGCAGTATAAATATACTCTAAGACATATGCCTATAGCTTTATTTTTAATGTCCAAGGGTGGAAGCCAATACTTGGCATTTTGGAGACTTATACTTTCATACAACATGTGATTAAGCTATAATTGAGCTACACTTGCCTACTAATTCTGGCGAGTTGGTGACATTTGTACTAGTTGATGCTTTCTATCTCTGAATAGGAAAAGAAAAACCCTTTGATGTTTGGAGGTATAAGGAGTGGCTAATGGTTCATCCCCTTAATGAAAGAAATAAATATTTGTATAGCATTAGATATACCCTAAGTTTTTGTTGTTATCAGAGCCTCTTGAATCTGCAAAATATGACCATAAAAAGCTCATGAGATCTGGCCATCTTATGAGAGTTGCAGTGCTGCTTGCTTTGGTCAGTGGAAAAGTCCTGTCATAACTAGGACCTGGTTTAAATTGTGGGCCCAGCTTGCTGATATGATGGCCCAGCCATGGTGGGGGCTACCATTTTCGGATCCAGAACATGACACTCCCTCCTCCCCCCCACCCCCCCTTGGCTGAGGGGGCAGGTTTAGGCCCAGGTTTAATTGTAGCAGTAGAGGTCTTGCTACCAAGGCCTCTGATTGCTGCTGAAAAGCCCATTCCCCCTTGCCTTGCTGGAAGAAGCAGTAACAGCAGTAGCTAGATGGGGAAAGCATTTGCCAGCCAGCAGCAAAAGCCTAGCTACCCAGGAGAGAGGGAAGGGGTCACAAAAGGGACAGGGGAAGGAGAGAGCTTGGGGATAGGTAGGGCAGTGGTCTTCAAAATTTTTTGATCGTGCATCCCTATCAATAAAAAAATTTTTGAGCATGCACCCCCAATATATGTATATTTATATAAATATAAATAGAAGTTCTAATATTTTCTTCCCTCACCCCAATGGATTGTCTTGCGCACCCCCTGGGACGTGCGCACCCCACTTTGAAGACCACTGAGATAGGGGAAGAGTTGTTTGCTCCTCTGGGTGGAAAAACAGGGGCATGGGGGCTTGGGGCTCCATAGGGTTTGCCTTGGCAGACAGCCCTGGCACTGGATAGGGAAGGGGCTCTTTGCTTCTCCAGGCAGGAAAACTGGGGCACCAGGGGTTGGGGGCAGGGAGAGAGAACACATGTGAGGGAACAAACAGTCCCTCCCTTACCTGGTGCCAGGGCTTTCTGTCAAGGCAACCCCCAAGTGCCCCCCAATCTTCCTCACCCCAATTTTCCTGCCCAGAAGAGCCAGCAGTACCTCCTCTACCCATCTCCAAGCTCTCTCCTCCCCCTGTTCCTTTTGCAACCTCTTCCCCCTCCCCTAGGCTGCTAGGCTCTTGCAGGAAATACTTTCCCAGCCTGCAAGAGCCATCTTTTTGAACCAAAATGCCATGACATAGCTGCTTGCTGGGGAACTCCCCAGCCAGTTACTATATCATGGCATTTCATTGCAAATGGCATTTTTCGTAAAAGTCACTTAATTTCATGTTTTTCATGAAAAATGCGAAGTCATGATGTAAACCAGGCCCTAACCATAACAGTAAATCTTGTGATTCTCAATTTTAGCACTTCTGCTACTTGTTTCAGTCAGAACAAGAGAGTGCAGAACCCACAGCTAAATACTTTAGGTGAATGAATTAACCATGTGTCTTTACAATTCTAAAAGAATAAGTTTGTTTCAAGGCTTTTAAATTTTGATTGAAATGGATCTCATAGTCCTCTGCAAATAAATGTATAAGGATAGTTCACATAATATCACTTGCCTAGTTAGTTCCTGTCTTTTCTAAAATGTGTGTGGAAAGATTCTCCTAAAAAACTACAATTCTTTACAGCCCTATCTACTCTCTCTCATATCTTCACAGCAGGATGCCTCATCTGTATAGGGCTAATAATGTATTGTTTCATGAAGAATCAGGAGCAGAAGTGAGGATGAGAAACTTTTAAAACATATGTTGGGGACAGAGAATATGGATGATTTATTTCTATCCACAAATAATGCTTAGGAGACAAACTGACCTGTGTACCTGTCCTTTCATAAGTAAGGCAACTTCTGTTGCATGGGTGCTTCCCACACTGGCTTATCTACCAGATTCCCTCCCTTGCTTCAAATTAACTTTTTAAATGAAGCCATAACTGTATAGACAAGTGTGGTTTCCTTCAGTTTGGGAAGACTGCTGCATGCTACGCTGAAGTGCCATATGAAAACCAGGCCTCTCTTTAAAGCATGTTCAATTGAGTACCCAAAAAAGAGGTTCCCCACAGTTCCTTACAGATATCTGTGTTGTGTAGTATTTAGCTGCAACTATCTCTGAAAGGCAGTACTCCATTTGTTCTGCTTTTTATAATATCCCTTTGACAGGTTATTGCAGGTTGTGCCAAATTTTCCAGGAGAGGTGAACTTGCTGAAGGTTGTAGGGGGTTGGAGGGGAGGCTGTGATCTGTCTGCATATGTCCCAGTCCTCAGCTAAGCTGCTGTCTGCCTTCCTGTAGCTATAATAATTCATTTTTCTCCCTTCTCCCTATCTGTTTACAGGTTATCTTGACTAATCAGATTACCACACGGTTGAGCAATGGCCTTGCTATCCAGGCAGACCTGGTGTCTCCAGCTGATGACTTGTCCCTGTCTGAAGGTAAGAGATCCCTTCTATCACAGCTGAAACTTGATACTGACACACATGCTTCACTGTAGTCTTCTGGTAATATTCAGGGGCACATGGAAATGAGGCTAACATAGAGTGCAGCCAGGGGTGAGACATTTTAATATTTCTTTGTAACTTTAAGGGATAAAATATTAACTAAAAGACTGTGTTTACTAAGGGTTAGGAAGGAATTTTCAACTCATGTTCAGTGTTTTCCTTAGCATTGCATAGGTATCCCACGTGCATCACAGGGCTGTTTTTCCCTTTTCTTCTGAAACCAATGCTAGATGAAAGATACATAGACCATGAGTTTGATCTGATAGGATAAATCCTATGTTCCTGTTCATTTACTCTCATTATTGTCAGTTCAAAAGAGAAACAGTTTGCCCCAAATGAAAAAGAACAAACATTCACTTGTCCTGCATTTATGCTATTGATATTTCAAGTACAATAACTTTCAACTGAACCCTAAGACGTACAAATCGTATTGTATAATAATTTCCTCCTTTATATTTATTCATTCCTTTCTGTTTTAATCTCAGATAATGTATTTTGCATAGAAATGATAAGCAAAAATTTTTTATTGCAGTAATGAAATATTTAACTTTTAACTTCCTTCCGTGAGAGGAAAGAGTACCTTTGAATAAAAATTCATATTATCACTAGCTCATACACTAACCAAAGAATTGCAAAGAATCATTGGACACAGTACTCTTAGCTGCAGGTAACTGTGGAGAAATTCCCTGTTTGGAGTTGACACTCATGCCTGAGCCTCGTTGTGCTTTGGCAAGTAATGTTTTCCCATACTTGTGTCCCCAGAATTGTATGGATGTCCTTGAGTCAAATGTCATGATTGTTTTCTGCCTTTTTTGCCCCTGAGTTCTTGCATATTTCTGCTGGGTCTGGTAGGTCTCTTGCTGGGCCTGTTTCCGCTGATGCTTGGGAGCCATGGCCAGGCTGTTTGACCTGTGCAAGGGGCAACATGGAATGTTAAAGCAGTACTATACCCCATCCCATCAGACAGGGGGATTCAAGATATTCTACCAAATGGCATTACAGAGAACAATAAATCATCCCAGTGTGATGTGACCTGACATTGCTTTGCCATTTTTACATCATGGTGTTTAATGGAAGCTTGGTAAAATGAGATTGATTTGTGGCTCATGTTGGCTTAATTCACTGATGAAGTAGCTCTAAAGCTTTATTTGTTCAAGTGTCATGATCTGCTTCTGTCAGAAAGTGTCTAGTGCAGTTTGTAAACTAGTTCAGTAAGAGTCACCACCATCTCCTGTCCTTCTGTCTTCTGACTGCTGTATCATAGGATCATACAAACTGTATCATTAAATGCCAAAGATGCTTGTAACTGTGCATTTCTTTCTCGATTTTAACACTCCTCTGTAACAGTTCCCTGCAGGCCAGGGTTTGGAGCGGGGTGGAGAGGAGCAAAACTAGCCCATATAGAGAGAGTACTGGGAGTACACACTGAAAAATACAACACTTGGTAAAACGAGATTATGGCTTAGGTTAACAATGTAGGAAAAACAAATCCAAAAAAATTTGCTGAAATATGCCTTTTTACTTAGATAATGTATTGAAATTGGCCAAAACCTCATTAAGGATCCAGGCAAACATCATCATCAGCTACAGAATCACTTCAACACTACCATTAATGATCCAGGCAGGCCAAAATGATGGAATTCTAAAACCAGGCACTGCGAGGTAGCATGAGATTAAATTTTTGTAGTGATTATGTAGTTCATTTATGCCTACAGCTGTTGTGGATGTTAATTCAGGAGTGTCTACTCTGCAGTGCTGTTGCTTTAAACCTTTACTCTCGAGTGCCCTGAAGGAGGTGGGATTATTTGCCTGTGTGTATGTGACTGCTTTTTTTAATTAAGTGAATTCATGATGGTGAAATGTGCCAAGGTGACAGCTATGGAAGATAAAAGCCTCTATTTAGGCTGAGAACTAGAACAAAACAGGCAATATCTGTGTGAGCTGCTCTTACAGATTCCCTCACTAATATCCCTCAGTTCTCATCTGGAGGTGAGAGAGGGAGTTTAGTACGGCTGTGCGTAACACCATCGTTTTGTTTTGACATCCATTTGGCCATCTCAAAGGGACAGTGTTCCATTTCGTTTCGAAACACTGTCCCATTTCATTTCATTGAAACTGTTTGGCTGTTTCAATGCGTTTCGATGTTTCACCCATAGGCTATAATGGGGAAACCTGAAAATGCCTAAAACTGTAATTTCTTGCCCAATTCAGATGAAAATTGCAGGGATGGTAACCCCTTCTGAGGGCATGAAGCCTGCTAAGTTTCAAGGATATAGGTGCAGAGGTTTCTCAGAAACTCACCTCAAACTGCAAAAAGCAAAATGGGTGACACTTGCCAGCAGTGGCAGCCTCCTGTCATCCATCCGGCCCGGTGACAAGAGGCAGGGGAGAGCCAGAGCTGTGCTCAGTGGGGCTGTGGAGCCCCACAGAGCTCAGCCCAGCAGTGGGAGGCAGAATGCAGCCCTGGCTCTGCCTGCCTCATGCTGCCGGGCTGCACTTCATGGGGCTCCGCAGCCCCATGGAGCTCAGCCTGGCAGCATGAGGCAGAGTGCAGCCCTGACCACCTGCCTTCAAGGGCTGCACTTCACCTCCAGCCTTCAGGCTGAGCTCTGTGGGGCTTGCATCCCCATGGAACACAGCCCAGCGGCAGGAGGCGAGAAGAGCCAGGGCTGTGCTCCATCTCCTGTTGCTGGGCTGAGCTCCATGGGGCTGCAGAGCCACACAGAGTGCAGCCCTGGCTCTCCCCTGCCTCCAGCCACGGGGCTGCTTCGAAACTCAAAACTTTTTGAAACTTTTGAAAAGTTTTGAGTGCCCTCATTTCATTTCAAAGCTTTTTGTTTCATTTAAATTTTGCTGTTTCAAGCTCGAAACACATCAAAACAGCTTTGAAATGAAACACTTGGTGAAATTTCACACAGCCCTAGAGTTTAGGCTGATTCAGCTCGGTGCCTCTGCTGCTGTTAACATTGAGAGGTCCAACTATGATGACAAATTTTGGATATCGATTAATTAAGAATTGGACTGAGAGCCACCTTCCCTCCTACCCTTCCTCTCTCAACCACCACTTATATCAACTTGGCAACTAGAAATAGCAGTAATGTGGAATCTGGTGAGTAGCCCAAGATCACCCACTTCCTGTGGCAGAGCCAGGAGTGGGGCCCAGATCTCTTGACTATCTGGCAGCCAGAGTTCTTAACACAAAATCACTCTTCCTTTTCACTCATCACCATCTTAAGCTGAATTTGAACCAGTGACCTACATGTGAAAAGATCCATAATGGAGGTATTTATTCTGCAAGCAATCCACACTTGCTGGTTTGTATATTTCTAATATATTATTTTACCCATGCCTTCAATCAGTCCTGTCACTGTAAGCTGTTTTCTGTGAGGATAATCTTTTAGACAAAAAACTAAATATGAACCTGCTGTTAGAAAGAAACAAAATGTTACAGTGGCTTATTCTTTGATTCTGGCTGTGCACTAGAGGAGAATGTTTTGGGTCATATGTTGGAACAGGCAAGAAATCAAGGAAGCTGTTCATTTGATGTGTGACAATGGTTAATTTTATGAACAAGCTGAAATGACATTATCAAGCTGTTTTAGGCTCAAATTTTGTCCTCCTGTGAAATAATAAGCTCATGTAGGATGACTTCCTGATTAGAAATATATTGTATTTTTTGTGAGGACACAAAAGGCTTTCTAAAAACAGAACTGACACAATAAAATCCAGCCGCCTCTGTGGCAGCTTTATAACTGTTGACCCTTATACACTGTTTGTGAATAGTGCTCATAGCAATTTGTTACAATTCACATGTTCCTATGGCAGCACAGATAAAGGAGGAAACAAAAAGTGAACACTTTGGGCAGAATCCTATTTTACTTTACATTCCCAAATGTCAGTTTTCCAGCTGCTTCACTGCCATTTTTGGCATTTACATGCAATTTGTGATCTTATTCCATGTGCAGTGTAGCCACATAAGTGTTCTAAGTCATGAAATTGTACCTGCCAAAAAACTCCGTAACAGGGATGGAGAGGAAGAAGAAGAGGAGAGGGAGTCCCGTGCATGTGTTCATCCAATAGTCTAGCAGTTAGGGTATTTATTCAGGAAGCAAGAGATCCTGAATTTCTAGTGCTCCTTCCCCAGAGTAGGTTTGAATTTGCATCTCTCTATCTTCCTGGTGATCTAATTGCCACACCACAGGTTAGACATTATCCAGTCCCTTTTCTAAGGCTTGGGCAGCCAAGAGCTGGATGTACATGGGGTCCGGAATGAGAAGAATAAGCTTGTAGGTGTGAGGCTCAGTGAGAGAGCTATTGCTCTGGAAGAGAGGGGGGTCCTGGGATCTAGCTTGGATTCTTTTTCCCAGTAGAACAAAAAATTCATCATTGCTCTCCTGCCCTCCAAACTGTTGGAGCACTCTGCTGGGAAGTCAGAGAGATAGAGCAGTTATGCGATTGTAAATTACGATTTAGATGCATAAAGTGAAATAGGATTCTTCCCTTTGCCTGCTATGAAACAATTTGAAGCAGGAAATAGGACATTTGAAGTAAATGGCTGTAATTAAAGGCCCTGTCGTTGCATAGTTGCTACCCTAAACAGTTGTCAGTTTGGATCTTTAAAAGTTGAATAACACTGAATGATATTTTAATGTAACTGTAGAGAGCTTTGGGGCTGAATTCTTGTTAGTGTAAGTGCAGTGAGGCAGTGAAATTACAGGAGGGCTGAATTTGGTTCTTAGGAAGAAGCTGAAATGGGTAGAAGGAATGTGACCCAGATCCTGAGCTCTTTTAAGTCTGCTTTACACTACAGTAGAGACTCAAAGAAAACATAGTTGGCTTAACTGGCCAGGAAGATATTCCCTTGCATAGAGGAAACCTCAAGGCTAGGGACAGACATTACATATAAACTGGTTTAAGTGATCAGAAACTAGTTT